CCTCGAGCGCTATTATTCTTCAATACAAACCACTTTGTGGCTTCAAAGCAGTCCGTTCACTAACATTCTTATATATGCAGCCAAGAAAGAAAATTTCAGATCACATCAACACAATCACATCGCTTCATATCATATGATCACACAACACCAACAATTGGTGGCCCTTAGCAACGTGGACAGGCACTTTCTTATATATGCCCGGTAGCTAAGATCGAAAATTTGAGGTCATATCAACATATCCATATCGCTTCATATCATATGATCACACAACATTACCAATTGGTGGCCCTTAGCGGCAGTATGCTCGACAGACAAAAACAAGATTTTCAGGTCACATTAACACAATGACATCGCTTCATATCATGTGATCACACATCACTATCAAGTAGCGACCCTCTGCACCATGGGTAGGCATTTTCTTATATATGCAGCCGCAACCGTGGCGAGCATCTATCTTCAATAATATGCCCGGTAGCTAAGATCGAAAATTTGAGGTCATATCACATATCCATATCGCTTCATATCATAGTGATCACACAAACATACCAATTGGTGCGCCTTAGCGCAGTATGCTCGACAGACAAAAACAAGATTTTCAGGTCAACATTAACACAATGACATCGCGTTCATATCATGTGATCACACATCACTATCAAGTAGCGACCCTCTGCACCATGGGTAGGCATTTCTTATATATGCAGCAAGAAAGAAAATTTTAATCCACATCAACACAATCACATCGCTTCATATCATATGATCACAACATCACGCCAATTAGCGACCCGTCTGCACCATGGGTAGGCATTTTCTTATATATGCAGCCAAGAATGAAAATCATATTCACATCAACACAATTACATCGCTCTTCATATCATATGATCACACAAACAGACCAATTGTGGCGCTTAGCAACGTGGGCAGGCACTTCTTATATACGAGTATGCCCGACAGACAAAAACTAAGAATTTCAGGGTCACATTAACACAATCACATCGTTCATATCAATATGATCACACATCACTGCCAATTAGCGACCCTCTGCCCTATGGGCAGGCACTTTCTTATATATTGCCCGGTAGCCAAGATCGAAAATTTTGGAGGTCACATCAACATTAATTCCATCGCTTCATATCATATGAGCACACATCACTTACCAATTAGCGACTCTCTGGTAGAGAATGTAAATTTAAATCTTTTAAGTTCTCTGCCTTCTTGTTCATTTACATTCTCTGCTACAGTGTTGATTAAATTTCTATTGTTCCCAATTTTTTTAGACTTTTTCTGTTAAGCACAGCTGTTGAAAAAAAACATGGCAGAGAATGGGACGAATGAATTTAAAGAAAATCGAAAGACCAGCCTGATTGCAGTAGCATTTAATTTGCTTTAACATTTAATGAAAAACTTATATCATTCAAATATATTGGTTAAGTAAAACTAATTTTATATTAGTTGTAATTTCTTTAGCAAATAATGTCGTCTGTCTCTTGCTGCTGCTGCCCTGGAAACTGAAAAGACCCGTAGAGTTGATGCTTAAGAAAACTGGTTGCATGAATTGCATTACAAAGTACAAGAGTTGTATTGCCGAAACAGGGGATTGGCGCCGCTGCCAAGAGGTGGTAAAGGAGTTTAAAGCAGTGCATGCAAAAATACACCGAAGGACAAATGAAAAAATACGCCCAAACAAAATAAAGCAAAAAAAAAGCGAAAACAGTTAACTTTATATTAGAAAAAAATGCTTAAACAAATCTTTAGTGCCGTTACTGCACCACGTACGAAACTGGTATTAGTGGTGCGAGGTGATTTAAAAATGTCTAAAGGAAAAACTGCTGCACACCGTGCGCAACATGCCAGCTATACTTTTGCTATCAACAATCTCAAAAGGAACAAGATAAGCAAAAATTAGTAGAAGCTTGGTCAACTTTGGGACAACCCAAAATTGTATTGCGTGTAAATACCTTAGAAGAGCTTACAAATTTACAAAATCGTGCTAAAAATGCAGGTGTAATCGCTGAATTAGTACGAGATGCAGGACGTACGCAATTAGAAGCTGGTACAGCAACAGTTTTGGGCATTGGACCGGATATAGAAAAAAATGTAGATTGAATTGGTATCCCAATTTAAAAACTATTATAGTTTACGAACTGATGAAATAAATACAATTTGTTAACGAAAAAATAAATATTTTATTTTTAACAAATTTTATTTTAATTCGTTTTCTTACTTCGTGTGGATATGGTTAAGGAGATTGGTTTTCCAAAAGTTTCTACTAAATCAGAAGTTACACGTCGGTTAATTTGTCTTAATTTTCCATTCGACTCGCCACAAATTAAACGCTTCAATACGAGCTTGACGGACAAGTTACCTCTACTGATGCATAAACTGTGCCTGTATAGAAAAGATTGACACAAGTATTTACATAAAACAATATATATATGTAAGTATACATTATCTTCGGAAAAAGTTATTCAATTGCGCTATGCCAAATTTGTATGGTATTTCTTGTGGTAATAATCTAATAGTCTGGCGCGTACACTCTCCACAATAAGCGCTTCCGGTTTTTCATCAGTAAAAGACCCTTGGAATATTCCCAAGATCGCTCCTTTGCGGCTCTTATCACGATAATCCCTATTACCAAGTGCAGCGCAAAGTATTGTAAATTAATTATATTGTTTTACTTTAATTGAATAGTTTTGTATCGTTATCCTTACCTTGATATCATTTAGACCACTACCAGTAATGGATGAAACTAGAAAAAACTTCTTGGAAGTTACTCCAGCTGCATCTTTCTTATCCTCTGCAATTTGCTTACTGGCTTACAGGGATTCTTCAATTCGCTTAACTGTCGTTTTTGATTTTTATTTCCCAACTATTGTTGGGTATTAATAGTTAATTGGTGAGGATGCGTATCAGTTCCAAGCAGGCACACGTTAGATTTCAGTGGCATCAATTCTTAATTCAAAATCAAAAAGCTTCGTCAAATGTTTGTATTCATTCCAGGGTTTCGAATCACAGAAATGGGAATGTAAAAGCGTTACGCCGTCCATGAATTGGATACATCATGCATAACAGCTTTTTGATTTTTGGAATAAGAGCTGATGCACTGAAATCTAAACGTTGTGCTGCTTGAACTTGATACGCATCCCTAACCATAACACACTATTAATACCGTCACAATCAGTTGGGAATAAAATCAAAAAAACGACATATAAGCGAATTGAAGAATCCCCTGATAAGCCAGGGTAGCCAAAATTCAGAGGCATAAGAAAAGATGTCAGCTGGAGTAACTTCCAAGAAAGTTTTTCTAGTTTCAATCCATTAACTTGGTAGTGGTCTAAATGAATTACAAGTTAGGATAACGATTACAAACTATTCAATTAAATAGTAAAAACCAATACTAATTAATTTACAATTTACTTCTGCATGAAACAATTTTTTGTAAAAATAAGGGGATATATCTTTTTAAAGAGCCGGCAAAGGAAGCGATCTTGGGAATATTGCCAAAGGGTCTTTACTGATTGAAAAAACCGGAAGCGCTTATTGTGGAGAATGGACGCGCCAGGACTATTAGATTACTTTACCACAGAAATACCCATACAATGTGCATAGCGCAATTGGAATACTTTTCCGAAGATAATGGTATTACTTACATATTAAATCTGTTATATGTAAATATTTGTATGCAATTCTTTTTCTATACAGGCACAGTTTATGCACAGGAGGTAACTTGTCCGGCAGTGTATGAACGTTTAATTTTAGGCAGCTCGAATGAAAATTAAAGACAAATTACCGAACGTGTAACTTCTGATTTAGTTAGAAACTTTTGGAAAAACCAATCAATCCTTAACCATATCCCACCGAAGTAAGAAAACGAATTAAAATTAAAATTTGTTATAAAATAAAATTTATTTTGTTCGTTAACAATTGTATTATTTCATCAGTTCGTTAAAACTATAATAGTTTAAAATTGGATACCAATTCAATCTACATTTTTTCTATATCCGGTTTGCCAATGCCCAAAACTGGGTGCTGTTACCAGGCTTTCTAATTGGCGATTACGCCTGTGCCACTCGTACTAATTCAGCGATACCACCTGCATTTTTAGCACGATTTGTAAATATTTGTAAGCTCTTCTAAGGTATTTACACGCCATACAATTTTGGAGTTGTCCCCAAAGTTGACCAAGCTTCTACTAATTTTTGCTTATCTTTGTTCCTTTTAGATGTTGATAGCAAAGTTCATAGCTGCATTGTGCGCACTGGCAGCAGTTTTTTTCCTTTTAGACATTTTGTAAAAATCACCTCGCACCACTAATTACCAGTTTCGTACGGTGTGCCAGTAACGGCAACTAAAGATTTGTTTAAGATTTTTTTTCTAATATAAGTTAACTGTTTTCGCTTTTTTTTTTGCATTTATTTTGTGTGGGCGTAATTTGTTCATTTGTCCTTCGGTGTTTGTATTTTGCATGCAACTGCTAAACTCCTTTACCACCTCTTTGCAGCGGCGGCCAAGCCCCTGTTCGGCAATACACTCTTTGTACTTGTAATGCCAATCAATGCAAACCAGTTTTCTAAGCATCAACTCTACGGGATTTTCAGTTTCTTTCAGCGGCAGCAGCAGCAGAGACAGACGACATTATTTGCTGTAAATAAATTAACAACTAATATAAAATTAGTTTTACTTAACCAATATCATTTGAATATATAAGTTTTCATTAAATGTTTTAAAGCCAAATTAAATGCTACATGCAATCAGCTGTGGTTCGATTTTCTTAAATTCATTCGTCCCATTCTCCGCATGTTTTTTCAACAGCTGTGCTTAACAAGGAAAAAAAAAAGTCTAAAAAAATTGGGAAACAATAGAAAATTTAATCACCACTGTAGCAGAGAATGTAAATGAAACAAGTAAGGCAGATGAACTTAAAAGATTTAAATTTACATTTCTCTACAGAGAGTCGCTAATGCGTAGTGATGTGTGCTTCATATGATATGAAGCGATGATATGATGTTGATGTGACCTTCAAATTTTCGAATCTTGGTACTGGCATATATAGAGAAAGTCCTGCCCATGCGGGCAGAGTCGCTAATTGGCAGATGTGTGGAACATTATGATTATGAAAGCGAGGGTGATGTGTTAATGTTGACCTGAAATTCTCTGCTTCTCTCCCTCTGTCGCGGCTATCGTATATAGAAGTGCCTGCCCACGTTGCTAAGCGCACCAATGTGTACTGTTGTGTGGATCATATGATATGAAGCGATGGTAATTGGTGGTATGTATATAAATTTTCATTCTTGGCTGCATATATAGAAAAATCCTACCCATGGTGCAGAGGGTCGCTAATTGGCAGTATGTGTTGATCCATAGATATGAAGCGATGTGAATTGTGTTGATGATCTAAAAATTTCTTCTTGGCC